CGGGGGCGGGGGGGTGGGGGGGGGCGGGGGCGGGGATGTGCAGAGCACTGGCTCCGGCCAGGATGTTGGTCAAGCTGCTTCCCTCAGAGGCCTCGGCTTCAGCTTCACCATCTATAAAAAGCATGGCAGGGGGCGCCTGGGTGGCTCAGTCGGTTAAGCATCCGACTCTTGGATCCTACAGTTCGTGAGTTCGAGCCCCGCCTGGGGCTCTGTACTGATCCGCGCAGAGCCTGCTTGGGATTCTCTCTCTCTCCCTCTCTCTCTCTTTCTGCCCCTCCCTCACTCATGTTCTGTCTCTCAAAATAAAGAAATACGCTTAAACAAAAATCAAAAGGCACGGAAGAGGATGGGAGTCAGATGAAAGGAGTTGCCCGGGACCAGCTTGCCCGTGAAGACTTTTACCCTGCACCGCACTCCCCACGGTCAACCCCCGCAGCAATCTCTCTCTTATAAAACTCCAGAAGAACCTTACGTCACAGCCCCGGACTCCATCCCATGTTGCGCTGACCTGACAGAGTCCTAAGAGTTTTGAGTCTGGCTTTCCTAACTAGACTTCAGCATCTTTGCAAACGTGCGCTAAGCACCCTTACAGGTAAGTGTCAGCTCCCGGGTGTGGGGCTCCGTGACCTGCCTCCCTCCGCAGCCACCGCTGGGCACAGGGGAGCCCAAGCAGACGGGCCTCTCACTGCTACCCCACTCAGCTTCCAGCCAGAACCACGATGCCTTTCTCTCCACTCAAACACTGGGATTTGGAAACAGCATTCCACGGATTCGAAAAGAGAAACATTTGAAAGGGGTTATGTTATCATATTCAGTCCTTAGAGGACACAGATGCTCAGAGAGGGTCAAGCACCTGCCCAGAACCAGGACGGTCGCAATCCAAAACCAAGACTGTGTTTCTGCCGAGCCCGTATGGATACACCAAGGTGGGTACCCTCTTCCTCTGAAAGCTGTCTGAGAACAGGAAGTGTCCCTTGTTCTTCCGTATTAGAAGCCTCTCTGTTGATTTTACAAGAGCTGGCAGCAGAGAATTCAGCTCTGAGGAGCAGAATTCATTTTCAGCGGACGATCTGACGGGGAGGGTGGGGACCTGACTGTTAGCGACCTCTCTGGTTATACAAGACTGGAGGCTCCCCGGACTCAGTCTGGGAAGGAGAGGTGGAGGAAACTGTAACGGGGAGCAGTTTTCACCTTGTCCGGGTGTAGGCGGGGCATGGGAGAGGGGCTCTGCCCTGCTGGAAGGTCCCAGCAGGTGAGAGGCTCGGCCCAAGGAGGAGGACGGAGCCCCAGGCAGTGAGAGCCATGAGCCGTCCCAGTGCCCTTCTGTAATTCCATCCTGAACTGGGCAGTCCTTGCACAGGATGCAAAATTCCAAAGGCATCAAAGAATATGCATATTCTCCAGCTCCTCCAGGGCCCTTTGCCCCAGGCGACCAGCTAACTGAGTCAGTTTCCTGTTCTGTCCTGTCAGTTTCCCCGCTTCCTCCCATCAGGTCTCCACTCAAGTTTTAATCAGCTGCCAGTTTCATCTCAGCCTTTGTGGGAGGCAATGCTGACAAATGAAAGAACAGCTGGGTCCACAATGAGGCCCAGCAGCCCCGGACAGGTGGAAAGCGCAGGGAGACAAGGGCGGGCAGAGGGGCCCAAGCGATCAGGGAGCCGGAAGCAGCATTTGGGGACGATCGGAACCTGTAAGCATCTGCACTCCTCCCGGGGAACCCTCAGAAATATGAGGAAGGGGGACTGAGGTTCAGGGAACAGGGGGACACTTTCTGACTTTCCATCTCCCTTAGGGCTGGACACTCAGTGGGTTTTGGTAGACAAGAGATCAGGCTCCATCACCCAGTTCAATTAAGGCCCGGTAATGCTTCGAGAATTCTACGGCTAATGAAAGGCAGCAGCTGAGGGACATGATAACTAACTGTATTTCTTTTCACTCCGCTAACTTCAATATCAGTGTCAACATTTCAATAGAGTATCCACTCTTACTCGGGGGAGCCAGATGGACCACACAGTCGTCTTCCACGTAGATGGCCCAGTGCTCATAGCCGATGCGAAAAATCTCAATCAGGTCTCCAGGTCTGGGTCTTGGTTTGCTCTGTGACGGAAGAAATAAGATCGAAGAAAGAAACTGCACGTGCCCAAGGACCCGGTTTGGAGACCAGCTACCGCTCAGCCTAAAGCCACCGGATTCCATCGCTTTACAGAAATCCCGGCGGCAGGAAGCTCTCTCCACACATGGGACCAAAGGACCCACCCCCCCTCCTGCTGTCACCCTCGTTATGAAAGCCACAGAGGCTAACTGTGCCAGCTATCAATGTATTGCCCCTTGGTTCCAAGTGCACTCTCCAGATAAGTTCTGCGATATGTGCTGGAACTCTTTTCAGCTTTTCTCCCTGAAAATGAGCACTGTGGAAGGGGTTCTCCTGCAGGGGCGGGGGTGGGGGTGGTGGTGAGGAGGGTGATGGTCAGTAGTGTGGGTGTGAGGACTTCTAGTGGAGCTCTGCCTGAGCCGGATCCCTCCGACCCCATCACCTTGCAGCCTTGGCCTGGCAATAACCCTTCTGGGGCCCTTTGGATGGAGACATCAGTGCCCAGACACTTCCTGCACCTCCTGATGTCCCGATTTCCTCTACAGGTCACCACGTGGACCACCTGTGGTCCAAAGGGTCCTCCCCTCCTCTGCATGCCAGCTCCCCACACACACTCCAAAGGGTTGCATTTGCCCAGCAATCACGGTGCCGTCCCAGCCTGGCCAAACCAAACTTCTCTGCTCACCTCTCTAACCGAGTCTCAATCCCTTCCAAGCCTGTCCTTCCTTGAGTTTTCTCCCTCAGCCCTGGGAGACCATACTGAGTTTCTTCATATCTTTTTTTTTTTAAATGTCTATTTATTTTTGAGAGAGAAAGAAAGAGAGAGGACGAGTGGGGGAGGGGCGGGGGGGGATCCAAAGCAGGCTCCATGTTGATAGCAGAGAGCCTGATGGAGCGCTCTGACTCACCAACCATGAGATCGTGACCTGAGCCGAAGTCAGATGCTTAACCGACTGAGCCACCCAGGCGCCCCAAGTTTCTTCATATCCTGTAGTTACTCTTACGTAGTTTAATAATTCTTAATTTTATTTATTTATTTATTTATTTTTTCAACGTTTATTTATTTTTGGGACAGAGAGAGACAGAGCATGAACGGGGGAGGGGCGGAGAGAGAGGGAGACACAGAATCGGAAACAGGCTCCAGGCTCTGAGCCATCAGCCCAGAGCCTGACGCGGGGCTCGAACTCCCGGACCGCGAGATCGTGACCTGGCTGAAGTCGGACGCTTAACCGACTGCGCCACCCAGGCGCCCCTAATAATTCTTTATAGTAAATCTCCCCCTGTTTAACCTACTGTGTGTTTCCATCTCTTGACTGGATGCAGAAAAGGAGAAAGAAAGAAAGAAAGAAAGAAAGAAAGAAAGAAAGAAAGAAAGA